GTGACCAAAAGGGTATAAACAGGACTCCGATTATGTACTTAGAATCTACAAGTGAAGAGCTATGTAGGGTACTAAAAGGAGGACTATATATACAGATATTTGGGAGCTATAAGGGCTAGGCCCGGAAGAATAAAAAATTCCTAAAAATAAGCATTATATAATATCTAGATTTAAAACTGTAGAATTAGGGTTTTAAATTATGAAAGGAAGATTTAAGAGAATTATCATATTATATTATATATATAATATAAATCAGTAGATGGAAGAGAACTGACTATTCTGTTATATTACCTTTTCTTTCAAAAAGAATAATCTCATGTGTTCTTTTATAAGCAAATCGCCTATGATCTTATTATAATTATCAACTCTGTTGTTATGATTATCTATTTATACTATAAGGGCAATAGGTAATTTTATTTGACTAAAATGATTAAAGTAATAAACTTAAAGTTTATAAAGGAAATATTTAAAATTATTTGCTTTATACTATATAGTATCCAAAGGGTGGTTTAATTAAAAAATCTAATAAAAATTTTTCTTATATTGCAACTTTGAAGCTAATATTTCCTTCATTTTCTATTCTTTTTCGCCAATGATATTCATAGGATATGATAAAGAATTAATTTATTCTGAAAATAGGTTTTCCAGTATGAAACAGAGTTTTTCGGGAGAAAACATATCGAATATATATATTATTGTCAAAAATATAAATCAGTACAATTATCCAAATTTTTTACAATCTTGTATTTGCTAATAATAGGAAAGTCGAGTTTACAAAAAGATCTTTAAGTTTTGTAATATTAAGAATCTAATTATATTATATTATCTATTTTGAAGTCAGGTTTACAGTAATATTTGTTATATTATTAGATTATTTGATCTTAAATATATTAGATTTGATTACAGGCAAATTTTTATATACTATATATATAAATAACAAATTCATAGATTTTCTAAATATTGATTTTATTAAAGGGATCAGAATTGTATTTTTTCCAGTTTTATTCGATATAAAAAGAGTATTTGTAAAAAATCTCGAAAGGAGTTATTTAATCTAAAAAAATTGTGGGGCAATATCAATTATATATAATCTATAAATAATAGAAAACGTAACTGTTGGTATCACCGTGGTGGTAATAAAGTGTTAATAGTACTATCGTGTTTCACGTGTTTGTATTGCCTTAAGGAACTAAACTATAGAGATGCTAATGCTAAAAGATATACGCTCCGTGGTGGCCAAAGCATCGCTTATTGCCCTAACCCTTAGCCCTATCACTCACTATAGTTAAGTGAATAATATCTAGACATTGGTAATTATCTAAAAATCGAATAAATTCGTTTTTAGTAATCCTCTCCATATCCCATTAGTTCTTTTCTCTCTAATTTTTTTCAATCCATTCTATAATCTTGATCTTAATAATATTATTATCGATTAGTTCCTTGAATACTTTTCCTGCCTTAGATTTCGTTATCGCATCAGCAGGATTAGATTCTCTATTAATCCACTTGATTTTTATGATCTTATATTGTTTATATAATTGTCTAAAAGCCATTAAATCGATTATTAATCTTTTTTTCTGGATTATGCCTAATTTGATAAAACAATCATAGAGTGATTTGGAGTTGGTATAGATAATAAGAGAGATTCGTTTCTTTATGAAAATATTACCTATTATACTACTAATCACTACACTGGAATCAAATCCGAATATCATACTATAGAGTTCTGAAGCTAAGATGCTTCGCGTGATTTTCTTGCATTTGATAGATGATTAGTGGATGATATTAGCTTTGTCGTACTTGTCCATTAGTACAATTAAATATCCGATTTGTAACAACAAATCACAGTTGTTTGCAAATAAAACATCAGTAAATACAACCAACTTCAAGAAATCGATATCAAATAATACGAATTTGAGTCCTCTCATAAAATTGTCGATTTGCCATTAGATACAATTATTGAATAGTTGTGTATCTTCATCCTTTAAATCAATAATCTGGACAATAAACAAGAAATCGAAGGATACCTCTGATTAGCATATTATAGCAATATAAACTCCATAGGCTTATTAAGTAATATATTAATCCTTAGTTATTGTATTCTTTTATATTTTTTCTTTGGTTTCTGGTATATCCGATAGCTTAGATATTACAAAGCACATATTCTTACACTGCTTCTTCTAATTAAAATAAATATAATCATCCTTTATTGTAATAATATTATTGTTGAATTTGAGGAATATATCCATTGTTAGAATCTTATATTCCTTGGTAAAAAATTTGGTTTTTTTGAGTTATTCCTATTCTCATTCGGTAAATACCTTATTCACAATGATAAATATATTATCTATTGTGACAGAACAGACGGCTCTCTTCCGCCCACT